GTTGAATAAGTGACAGAGCCAGGATTAGCACATAATCCCAAAATGCAGTGGATAACTTTTTATCAGAGTCTCTGGCTCTTCAGAAGATTTGGTCAGTTTTGCCTTTGATTATTGTCACCAATTCTTAAAATCCCTTCCATCTATATCTTTAAGCAGGCAAAAATATGCCCTTGTATTATATACATATACAGAGTGCCCACATGTATCCATGCCTAGACTATTCTCTGGTAGAACACAGGACCTAGTAACAGTTGTTGCCTCTGAGGAGGGGAACTTGATTAATGGAAAACAGAACAAAATCAGACTTTTTACTCTCTACCATTTAGTGTCTTGAATTTTGTGCCACATGCATGTTATTGGTTTTAAAATATTTAACACTTTAAAAACTAAAAAGAACTAACTATGATTCATTTAATAGCAGTAAGGTGAATTTGTTCTTTGAGATGCTGTACTTAAGGGGCATCTCAAAAAAATTATACTACTTCATTAATTTAATGGAAAATATGCATTTGATGTGCATTTAACTCCCCTTGATGAGCCATGGCCTCCCTAGTGTTTTCATTTCTTAAGATCTTTTCCATGTTAACTCATCTGTTTTAGAATTCTTATTTATGTGTGTATCTCTCACAATTTCTATTACATACTCTGTGGATAGTAGGAACTCAGCAACCTTTTAAAATGAATAATTTCTACTAAGGGCTAAATGCATTAGAACTACCTGTTATCTCCTCAGACTAAAGCAATAAAATAAATTCAGAGACATTCCATAAAATTTTGCCTTCATGTACTCAGTAGTAGATATATTCAGTGTTTGTATCCACTTTTTACACTTGTTGATTGCATAACTAATTTCCACTGTCTAGAATCTTGAAGTCTTTAATGTCTACTCATTCATTACCTCTTTATTTATTGAGCTTTTCCTGTGTTCTAGGTATTGGGTCAACGAACTTTCTACAAAGTGTTAGATGGTATTATATTTTAGCTTGGAGGGCTATATATGATCTCCATCAAAACTCTAGTGTAAAAGCAGCTAGAGATAATCCATAATCTAATATATATGGCTCTGTTTCAATAAAACTTTACTTATAGATAGACACTGAAATTTGAATTTCACATGTTACAAATACTCTTTTGTTATTGCATTTGACCATTTAAAAATGGGTAGCTGTGGGCTGGAGTTGTGACCCTGGCAGAGCACTTGCCTTGCACATGTGAGGCACTAGTTCAATCCTCCGCACTACATAAAAATAAATAAACAAAATAAAGATATTGTGTCCATGTATAACCCCAAAAAAAAAATTTTTTTAAAGGGTAGCTGTTCCAACTTTGTAAGCCATTCAAAAACAGAAGATCAGATTTGGTCTATGGGCTAAAATTTGCTGACCCCTATTCTAGGTTCTCTACCAATTCATTGTCTAGGTTCTTAATGTAGGGATACATAGTAGACCAAAGAAAAGTCCCCACCTTCATGCATGTTACACTGTAGCATTGAGATGGCAGATGAGCAATAATCAATAACCACTTTAGTACACTAGAAAGTGATGGATGCTATTTTTTAAAAAAAAAAGGGGGGGAGGAGGAGGAGGAATAGAGTAGGGAAAAGGGGAATTAGGAACCCTAAGGTTGCAAACAACTGGCAATATTACATAAAGGTGGCCTTTTCTCTGAAAGGAGTTGATAGGAATGAGCCTTTAGAGAGTTGTGCAGTATTGTGACTTTCTTTGTGTCCTATACTCTTTAGGAAGAGCCAGAAGTGCTATAGGGGTGCTGATAGCTTCTCCTTTGAGGAAGTCTCCACTTGCTTCTATATCAAATCAAGTTCTAGTGACTGGATATCCCTGGTTGATATGGTTTCACCAGCCTCTCTCATCTTTATTTCCTGGTTTATCTTGACCTTTGCATAGGATTCAAGTCAGTAGAATCCCTTACTTCAGTGGTATAAACATAACATATTTTTCCTTCTCGTTAATGAATCTAAAAATCTTGCTTCAAAGGTAAATTTTCTATATTTTTGCACAAACATAAGTAGAACAATTTATAAACATAAGAAAGTACCATTTTTGAGAGCATTTATTATTTAAGGAGTGGGTTTTTCTTTTTATCATCAGTTATGGTCCTTCCTAACAGTCACCAGCTAGTTACTAAGAACCTACCAGTAGCTTCAACCCTTCACTGGGTTCCTATGCTGCTTAAAATAAATTCAATGTTTTTCACCCTCAGTCATAAACCCCTAGGTAAGGTCCTTCTTCACCTCCTGGAACCTCCTTTTCTTCTATTCTTTCTTTACTTACTACACTTCCAAGTTTACAGATACATTTTCAAATTTTCAAATATAGTGAGTTTGCTTCTAACTTGGGTTTAGCACTACCTATTCCCTATACCATATGCCTAGAATAGTGTCCCTTAATCATTATATACCTGGTTTTTTTTCCTTATTATAATAAAGGACCGTCCTTGTCAGGGTTTCTCTCAGCAGCTCAATCAGTAATTCATAAAACTCAGTTTTAGCTGTGTGCATACTACTAATCACCATCTTCTAGTTTGTGTACACATGAGTGATATGTGAAGGTATGTGCACACGTACACATATAGCACTGGAGATGTAAGCAGTGATTTTTGTTTTTCTCATTTCTCAATTACCTGATCTGAGAACAATGCCTGGTATATATTGGGCACTCAATGGTTATGTTTTAATAAATTGTAGAAATAGGGCATGTATACACTCCTGCCCTGTGCCCAGCACACTAAAAAGCATCATGGATAGAGGCACCTTGGACTTGTATTCTGTTCCACTTGTCTCTTTCCCTCGTTCTCTACATATCCTTGTTTCTTGAAAGAGTGACCAGCGTTCTGTTCTAAGGCATTTTTATAGTTACTTGATAAACCTATTTCAATCTGGCTTATGCTACAGCTCCTCAAGTGAAATTGCATACAAGTTTGCAGTTGCCAACAACTTCTTGATTGCTAAGTCAAATGAATTTCATAGTCTTCATCATAGTCTTCATAGCCCATCAGTAGCTTTTAACAACTTCTTTCTTGAAATTTTATCACATCCTTGACACCATCTCTTTTAGTTTTCCCTTAAAACATGTGTGCTCATGGCTGCAATTTTATGCCACATCAAAAAATATAGACGTGGGCTGGGGATGTAGCTCAAGAGGTAGTGCGCTTGCCTGGTATGCGCGGGGCGCTGGGTTCCATCCTCAGCACCACATAAAAATAAAATAATGATGTTGTGCCCACCGAAAACTAAAAAATAAATATTAAAAAATTCTTTTTCTCTCTCTTTAAATTATAATACACACACACATATATATATATATGTTTATTTATTATTTATTTATAGGCAGAAAAAAAATTACGCTCACTAATTTCACATCTTCCTGGTGTTCTACTACCTGAAGAAAATGTGAATCTCCGCAATGAGGGATATATGACTTGTATGTGTACTTGTTAAAACTTTTTTTTGATGATTTTTGGCTAGTCTTAATTTATGAGCCACATTTTTAATTGGAGAATGTATAACATTTGTTGTTTTTTATTTATATCTGAATTGGTAACAGCTGAGGTTAAATTCCATTGTGTGTAGCATTTGTGATCATTTTCAGCAGAAGGATTATTTTATTGTTTTCTTCTGGTTTTCTGGTTTTTCATTCTAGGAAATAAGAACTGAAAGTAACTTTTTTAAAGAAGATTTTTACTACCTATTCATTATTTTCCTGTATCAACCAAAGAAAACCCCACAAACCACCTGTTTGTAACATTAAGCAATAAAATTAGATGGCACAATAGTGCTCTTGATAATAGGATCCCAGTAAAGAACATGAGAAACAAACTTACCTATGTTTATGCTCATCCTTACATGTTTTCTTTCAGTCTCCCAAAAGCTTGGGGTGGGGAGTGCCGATTAGGTTTTTCTCCTGTTGATTACAGCCACCACTTCCTCAGAGTTCTTTCTCCATCCATCATCTCCTTTCTCTTCTCTATTTTCAGTGTCTCCATCTCTACTAGCCTTCTTACATGCCCAGGTCTTTTCCTATTCAAAAAAACAAACCCTACCAAATCTTCCTCCCCCTAAGTACTGCATCATCTTACTCTGCCATTATTCATGCTTCTCAAAATAATATATAGCATTATTCTCCCTGTCTTCAACCTATACTCAATATTTTTAAACATTTCTTATTGTAAAATGTAATCTGCATCCTAAAAAATGCATAAAATATGTGTACAATTTAATAGATTAGTTATATGATACACACCCAAGTAACCACCTCTGTGTACAAAAACTAGGAAGTTGCAGCTACCTCAAAGCCCTCTACGGGCTCTTCTATCCTCTTTGGAAGTAACTGCCATCCTGACTTTGGTGGGTGATTCTTTCTTTTTTTCTTTTTTTTATATTTTTTTAGTTGTAAATGAACACAATACATTTATTTTATGCTGAAGATTGAAACCCAGTGCCTCACACATGCCAGACAAGTGCAATACCACTGAGACACAACCCCAGCCCTAGTCGGTGATTATTTCTTTGCTCTTCTTTCTACATTTCATGACTTTCATGTGCATCCCTTTACTCTTCGTCCTACAGCCTTCAACTCTTTGTGCACTCCCACTGATTCCAAATTCTTGCACTAACATTATTTAAGAACAGTTGTTTTTACAATGGATGTTTGTCAATCCTGGTGTTACTAGGTCTCCCTGCTGGTTTTTGGCACTGTAGATCAGTTCATCCTTCTTAAAACTATTCTCTAACACTGGCACCTGTGTTCTCCTGGGTCTCCACATGCTTGAGCCCTTCCTTCTCTGTCCCTTTTACAAGCTCCTCTGTGTGCCCTTAAATGTTTCTGTCCAAGGTTCCATCCTCCACTGCCACTCCATGCTAAGCTCTAGAAAGCAGTATTTCTAAGCAATCTCTTACCTAAAAAAAAAAAGCTCTTTTAGTAAGGACAAGGTTTTATAACATTCTTCTTTTATTAAACCTTCACAAATGTTTTATGTTGCAGACCAAACCTGGGCCACCCAAAAAACCGAAGACTCCTTCTGGACAATCAGCATTAGTTTATTGCTACAACTGTGCACAAAAAGGCCATTATGGACACGTAAGTTTAGCATTTGAACATAAAGCATTCTGTTGTCAGGAAGCAGTTGAAAGATGAGCTCAAAAAAGAATGGAACTCGGAATGCTTACTTATTTACAAACTAACATTCAGAGGCAAGACTTAATATATTCTCTTTTTTTATTTGTTTTAATTAGATACACATGACAGTACAATGATCTTGACATATCATACTTTTGAATCAGATGGGGTATAATTTCTCATTTTTCTGAGTGTAATTTAATTTTTCTGAGTGTATATATTCTCTATTTCTTTACTTCTCCCATCCCTACCAGAGTAACTGTCAGAGCATAGTTGTCTGTTACAGGTGAATGTAAAAACAAATACAGCTCATGAAGTCAGTCATATACTAGTCGTCAACAGTACATGGCGTTCTCATGAGTTCCTCTCACGATTACTTTGACACAGCTCCATCATGTTTTGGTTTTTTCCTCCACTTTTTCCTGGTACTGTAGTCAACTCAGTCTTCATCACTCACTCGAAATCCCTGACACCCAACAGTGGAAAGACAGAAGTGATGCATCACTGACTAACCCACCTACTCCACAAGTGCTCAGGTTCCTTGTCCAGCTAACACATTCTCTAACCCCAACTGAAAGGGTCAGATTGTGTGTTCTGGATGTTTAAGTTTCAGAGCAGGAGCGACTTCTTGCTGTGAGGTGGGCACAAGATCCCTAGCCAGTTGCCACTTTAAGTGTGAAACAGCAGCCATCCATCACAGAGACAAGAAGCAATAAGAATAGGCTCAAAATCCATGCATTCCAGGACTCTTGAGGCAGAGAGGAAAGGGCAGTGGCACAGGAGGTAGAAAGTTCATATGGAGAAATGCACTCCCACTTTCCAGGCAGGGTTCTAACAGCCTCAAAAACAAGGTGAACTGATATCAAATCAGATCCAGTGGAAGGAGGTAGAAAACAACAAAGCTTGGAATCCTTTAAGTGGGTAGAAAGATGATCAATAGAAAAGGGTAGCACTGCAGGCCACCTCTTAAATTCCAGCCATGGCAAATACTGGTACAAGCCTTGGGAGCCCTACATTATGAGGACAGACAAAAAGGCTAGGAGAAAGAAAAGTGCTGGAGTCCATCTTCTGATCAAGTTGTCTTCCATACTGAGGCAGCAGGAACTATGGGTGGAGCTTAGAATGTAAAAACTAGCATGAGGCTCTGATCCTCACTTCTGATTTGTACTCTGCTACTGACTTAACCAGGTGACTTCAACAATTCACTTTTTCTTTCTGATCTTCAGTCCTTATCTCCAAAACAAAGAAGTGGTACAGGGGATTTCTCAGCCCTGATGTTTAGATGCTATTTCCAATGTGATCAGACCCACCTTGTGGTGACACAGATGGAGAGATCCTACAGCACACTTACTTCACTTCTGTAGAACTCACATTGAAAATTTAGCTAGAGAAGGTTTCTTTTACAGTGCTATCATCTCTAGATCTTTTACTGCTCTGTGCATTCATCCGTGTTACCAACATTCAGTTGCTGCCAACACCTTTTAGGGAACATATTCACATGAGCAGTCTACTGGCACACAAATCACATAAATGTATGATTTATGCTTGCTTACCTCTTTAAAACACAAGGGTATAATTTTAGCATTTATCTTTGTTCAATTAAAGAAAAACAATTATTGCTGGATGCTTATTACTTACTAGTCACTCCTGTTAATGTAGATAGGAAATATATTAAAAGCATTTGGAATTTATCCCTGAAATCTAGATTTAGATAATTTTTAATTTATAAAAAAACAAATTTGGCAACCTCATCACTGCCATAGATGAAGAACTCTAGATTATCCAACATTAATGAAGAAGATCAGTGGTGTGGCTAATCCAGAATAGTAGATAAATTATATAGCCAACTATCAATTGTCTGTGCTAATGGAGGGGACCAGCGATGTGGATAATCAAAATACAATTTACATTTAGCTTTGGAAAACATTTGTAGTACTGTATAACTCTGTGTAGTCATGTCAGTCTAGACCATATGGGATCCAAATAGAGCACGCAGGTGGTTCAAGATGTCTGAGGATCTTTCTCCTTCAATTTTAGAAATTCAGCCATACAGATGTTGTTATTGAATGGATTCTTTGCGTGAAAATGTGACACTACTATTTCCTAATTCCACTCCCTTTCTGGTGGAGTGGGGTCTGGGGAGGGTGTCAAGGACAACAGTAGTCACTGTACAAAGAGCCTCTGCAGGAGGATGTGAAAGAGTGAGTGGGGGCTGGGAGAGTTAAAAGGTTTTGTTGACAAGTATTGACTGAATGTATGAAGATCTTTAGTACCTTTGTCCCATTATGATTTGCTCCTACTATTGTATGGTTAGGATTCTTACTAGAGATAAAGTTGCTGTATATTCCACCATTACAGTATTAGAGTATTCTGAATGACTCATTACATCATTAAGTTTTATGCTTTTCTGTGTTTTATGTTCTTAATTAGCTGCCTTTCATTTCAGTTATTGTCAGAATTTTAGACCCAATTTTTTATGGGTTTATTTTATGTGTATCTTTTCTCCTAGAAATGAGAATTTGGAGCCACTAAATATGGTAGTTTCTAAAAACATTTTTTTATGTTATCATGAAAGTTTGCCTTACAACTTTCAGAATCCAAATAAGACCAAATGATTTAAAAAAAAAAAAGTCACAACAGGCAAGGTGGTGCATGCTGTTATTTCAGCAGCTCAGGAGGCTGAGGCATGAGGATTGCGAGTTCAAAGCCAACCTCAGCAATGGCAAGGTGCTAAGCAGCTCAGTGAGACCTTGTCTCTAAATAAAATACAGAATAGGGCTGGAGATGTAGCTCAGTGTTTGAGTGCCCCTGAGTTCACTTCCTGGTACCTAAAAAAGAAAGAAAGAAACAATAGGATAAGTCTGAAGATGGTAGAAGGAAGAAAATAATAAAGATAAAAGAGAAAATTATAGAAACAGAAAACTAAATAGTATCAACAAAACCAAAAGCTGATTCTTTGAAAACTCTTTTTTTAGGAGAAAACAGAAGTCAACTGTTAAGGTAAAATGTTATGATTTGATATGAATAATAAAAACAGATTTCCATTACTTAACTCTTTGAAGTATATTCTGATGATTCATAATTTTTTAATTCTGCAAATTAATTATATAAAATGTATAAAATGGCCAGCTATCTTAAAGATACAAGTTCAGATACAATGTCAAAGTTATAATGAATCAACAAAATTCTTTGTGTATTTTTCACATGCTTTCTTAAAAGTATTCTAATTTTTCTTCAATACTTAGCTAAAAAATGCTGAATAGTTATAAATAAATATTAGGTAAGATAACAGAAGGTAAACGAGAGCCTTCCAATGGGAAGACTTTCAAAGAAAAAAATGCTTCAGACATGGTGAATAAATATGTGTTGCAGATCATGATAAATGAAAACCTGAAGTATTCAGGCCAAAGGATGTGAACATGGGAAATGGCCATGGTGGGAAGACCAGTCATGAGAGTGGGCAGCTACCTATGGAAAGGAGTGCAAGGGGTGATCTCAGCTTGGGTAGGGAGCAAGAAGAGAGATTTCCTTTGGGGCATCTCAGAATTACATGGGAAAAGTTTTAAAGTAGACATAACCTACCACCATCTCACTCCCTATCATAAGAATCACCCTAATCAGCAGTAAATGCTGAGTTAAAATAAACTTGCCAACCACTTGTGTTTAGAGAGGAGAGCAAGAGGCTAAGAACTTAACATCTATATTTGGGGGGTGAGAAGGAGAGACGGAAGAAATACTTAAGGGAACATTTTTGGAAGAAACAGACAAGGAAAGGACAGATATGAACATAAAACTGAAAAGAATAAACTCTGTCACAGAACGAGACAAGTGCAGATGGCACCAGCCCTTAGTGCTGTTGACTGAGACTAAGGAGGAATTTGGCAGGGAAGATGGAAAAAAATAGAAAGGTTTTATAGCTAAGGGAAGAAAACCCAAGCCTGAAAGAAAAGCACATAAGCACAGTAGGGTTGTTGGTTTGCGTGATCCCTTCCAGCTTCCAACCACAGCACAAGACACCAGTGATGTGGGTCTCTAATAAGCATGGTCCAGAAGCTCACAAAAGGGTTTTCTGAACAGTGAAAACTATGACATTATAATTTCAAATACAATTTGCAGGAATGTACAGAAAGACGGATGTATAATCAGACATTTCCAACATCTCCATTCATCTACTACTATGATGACAAATACGAAATTCGGGAGAGAGAACAAAGAATAAAACGAAAAATAAAAGGTATGTTATTAGGCTGTTATTGTAGCTCAATTGGTATTGCATTTGCCTTAAATGTGTAAGGCACTAGGTTCGATCCTCAGCACCACATAAAAACAAATAAATAAAATAAAGGTATTGTATCTGTCTACAACTAAAAAAAAATTTTAAAAAGAACAGATATTATTTTTTAAAAAGGTGTGTTATTAACTTGTTAGGTAACATTTGCAGTAGTAATTCCTAGATTTTTTTTTCTCTTTCCACATTTTTTATTGTGCATTATAATTATACATAATAATGGGATTTATTGTTACATATTCGAACATGAACACAAAAAAAATCAACATAATTGGCCAATATCATTCCCCAGCACTTTCCCCCTTAAATTTTTTTATCTTTGCCTGCTTTCAAGGTCATTAGTTATCACAGTAAATGTTTTTAATAATTATCAGAGAAACTAGAATTTTCTTCATCTTCAAAAGCCAAACACCTTACTTCAAAAATTCTGTATTGTAACCTGTTTATGATAAACATTTTTTCCACTTAGTAAGCATTTTAGAAAATGTCCAGAAAAATACTGCTCTCCATCTGTGCATGCAGTTTTCAAGATTCCTTGGAGATTTTTCTGTTTGACAAGTAATTATTTTTTCAGGTTGTGTGTCTCTGATATTTTTCATGGAAAGAAAGATTCCTAGAGCTTCCCTTAAGAAATCAGCTCTTATATGCCACCATTGTCTACATAGCTGTAGGTCCCCAGCCACTTCTCTGTTTTCTGTGTTTACTGTTGCTAACATTTAAGTTCTTTCTCACCAAATTAATATCTTATCATTTAAGTCTATTTTCTCTACTTCTGTTCTTTCTTGCTGTGTACTTTAAGATGGTTTCTCAAGTTACCTTTCTTGTTTGGGGACAAAATTGTTTATTTTTCAAGTTGTTCTATTATGTAGTTTTCATCTTTTTGGTATTCTTTTTTTAGACTCTTAGTAAGTTTAGGAACTTTTCAAAATAAAATTACTAATTCTAAAGAAAGTTAAAGAAACTTCTTCTCACAATGCCTGCATAGTTTACATATTTAATATAAAATTTATCTAAACTATAGAGAAATTATAGGAAGACAGTGATTAGGCAACTAAATTAGAAAGAGATTAAAAAGAAATAAATGAAAATTTTATCTCTGAATTTAAAAATTATGAGTGCTTTCTGATTTTTTTTAACTTGTCTGTTTTTTTCCAAGTTTTCCATCATGAGCATTTATAACTTTTATAATCTGAGGAAAAAAAATTTTTTTCCTTTTTAGCTAGTTGTATTGACACTCTGTAGCACAAATCAATTTTGAGGTTTGCATTGAAATTTTTATTTTATTCTAAGAGTCTTATGCTAAAAGTTATTGGCCAGTGCTTTAATTTTTCAAAGTTCTACTGACATTAATTTTCATCCCTCACTGTCAGAATCACTTACCATCAGAAGCTTGTAACAAGTATGTTGAATCCTGACAAAATATAACATCATCTGGCACTAAAACCTCTAAGATAATACCCACACAGAGTGCATACAAGTGTGTTCTCCCCAGGCCAGCAGTCTCTGCTCTAGAGGAGTAATCTCCCAAGCAGTCTGGCGTCCCCCTCTTAGTACTGTGGCCAGACTTTATCTTCAGGAGGTAATTGAAATGTCATGTGAGACTGTCAAAGGCAATTTTATACATCTTGCTTTGCCTTATCATCAGAGACTGATGATCACTGGAGGAACTTGAATTGGTCAGACGTGACTTCCTCACAGAGCTAAGATGATTACTATTCTTGCAGGTCCTGGTCTCTATTGTCTAATGTAGTTAAACTGTGTTGAATAGAACAAACACCTATCATTGGATTTGTGGTGTTTTCCCTTTTTAGCAATCAGGAATGTAAAACTACAACCATTCCATTTTTAGTTAGCGTTTATTGCTGCTACTGTTGTTTTTACCTTACTAAAGGCTCTTTAGAATGTCGTATTATTAACACATTTAAATATATCTAGCTGCCTGTCTCCACATTTATAGACCTGCGAAAGCTCAAAATACTTTTTAATTTTCCAGAACTGCAGAAAAATGGGGATTTTCCAAGGCAGTTCAAGAGACTGCACATGGAAGCAGCAGAGACGAGACCACACCATGATATAAGGAAGAGCCATGGCTGGAGGAAAAGCAACAAGTGGTATCAAGAAGACAAAGAAATACAGAAGGAAATGATGAACAGGAGTAGAGAACGTGAGAAGCACAGAAAGGCTGACAGGCATCATGAAGTGGATGAGGACTTTCCTAGAGGCCCCAAAACCCACTCTTCACCTGGCAATTTTAAGACCCAGAAGCCTCACAAGTCCTTTCACCATTCATCACATTACCACAAGCCAAGAGAAGACAAGCTTCCCAAAGAGGGCAAGCGGAGCAAGCCAAAGAAAAAGGAGAGATATGTGGAAGATGATGGCAATGATAATTTATTTCTTATTAAGCAGAAGAAAAAAAAGTCTAAGCTGTGAGACAGCTTCTGGTTTGGTTTTATAATGTTCATTTGATCTTCATGTCTGCAACATTCTGGCAATATTTTTATTATTTATGATTAAGTGAAAGAAAGGTTTTTTGTTTTGATTGTTTAATACTTGGAGTACTGAGCAAATCCTTGCAGGATCTCAGTGCTTTATCCCACAGGTTATTAGGTAGAAACACAGCAAGATAAACTGGGACTTCTATTCCAATGTTGTTTTTACTCAGAATTTTTGGGAGAGGAAAAATCAAATCTTTTCAATAAAACTTTTTAAAAATACTTTGAAAAACAGAAAATTTCATCAAATGTAATTCATCTACAATATTAACAGTAAAAAATCTTTGCAGGAAGAGAAAATATTACTAATAAGAAAATTTTATCACTGTTTTACAGCATTACTTTTTTTTTTTTTTTTTTTTTTTTTTAATACTGGGAATTGATCCCAGGGGCATTCTACCACTGAGCTATACCCGAAGTGAGACGGGGTCTTGCTAAGTTGCTGAGGCTAGCCTTGAGCTTGCAATCCTCAGCCTCCCAAGATGTTGGGATTACAGTGTATGCCACCTGACATAAGATTACTTTTACATTGGAAAGGACAGTGGCTATAAATCTGAATCCAGCTTTTCTTTCTTCTGAAGCTGTTGTCAGAATCTTCCCTTGGGCAGAACATCACAGGCATACTACAAACAAAGCCCTGAGGAGGCAGGGAATTGGGCTATAGTAAAAGAATCTGTCCAGTATAAATGTCTAAGACAGATTTCCAGAAACAGGTGAAAAAGAGTCATCAAAAATTTTAACAATCGCAGTAAAACAGCTTTTGCCATTTTTAAAGCCACATGTCAAAATCATCACTTAGATTTATAGAGTTAAATATTATCCAACTTAAAAAATTGTTCTGTTTTTATGGACTTTTATAACTACAACAGAGCTTTACAGAATTTTTTGTACTTGTGAACAAACTTTTTGTACTTATCAAAGCCTAATATTAGAATGAGAGAAATAAAATGTCTCAATAGAGTGACTAAATGGTTTATTATGTAAAGACTATGAGAGTTGGGATGATGAAGGGCACATTTGGGTTGGACAGTGACTAAAGCTATAAAATCACCATAAACTAGAGCTGAGGATGTAGCCAGTGGTGGAGTGCTTGCCTAGCTTGGGAGAGGCCCTGAGCTCAATCCCCAGCACCTCAATCAATCAGTCGTCAATCAATAATCACAATAAATTGGAGTAAAAAATGCCCATGTTGCCCAAGCACAAGCTTTATAGCAGAATAAAATGGTGTGTGATCAGTTAAGTAGAACAGTTCTATAAATTGGATTTTTGTGTTTGTATTTTACTCTTGGGGAAGTATAAACTACTGTCTGCCTGTTAGGGTGTCTCCTATTTTGTCTTTGGCTGAAGGAGAATCTCACTTCCCACGTCATCCCTAGTGTGAATTGTAGGTCTAGAATGTTTAGTCCACCACCCTCCCTTCTGGCATATGGCTTCCCAACATTGGCTAAAGTTGTTCTCACCCCGAGGTGAGCAACCAGAGGCTCTTAACACCATGCTAAAACTGATAGCCATGATAAGCAGCTTCATGGAAGTGTAGTAACCCTTGAAATAGCTGGCACTGTTCCTCAGTAGGACCTGGGGCAAGCATGGCTTATTTTCAGTATGGGGGAACTAGTGCCCCTTCTACTCCTAGGGCATCCACCTCTTTTTAGGTCAGAAATGAAATTACCATTGCTTAGGTTCTTTCATATATAGAGTATTTGAAGGTAAGGCTTTTATTGCTACCTGCCCATTATTTTTTTTTTCCCCAAAACTTTTCTTGGTTGTTAGACAAACCTTTTGTTCTGGGATATAACTTACCGATTGGGTCCATGCATTTATACACAGATAAGAAGGGAGAAATGAATAGGAAAGTGATACAGAGAAATGAAGAGAAGGAAGCGGGGCTGGCTGCTTCCTCAGGGTCCATAGCGGGAACTTCCATGCTCACTCCACTAGACAATGGAGGCTGCACCTCAGAGTTGCCCCATCAGGGACAAAGGAGCTAGCATATGTGTTTTTTGTTCTGTAAACCAGTCAGTGTTTAAAAACTACCCCAAGGATTCTTTCCTAGCCAACTCTGGCTCTCTGTACACCAGCAGAGCAGTTTTGGGAGGTGCCCCAACAGAGGCAGAGGCTGGGAAGGAACCACCAGCTCGACTGCTGCAGCCATCATTTCAGAGCAGACCTTCTTGCAAAGGATGCTTGGCAGTCTTACACCAACATTTTTAAAAATTGTTCTTGAATGAAGAAATTACAATTTTATATTCTTATTACATATAATCAATTGTATATGTGAAATGTAATTCGAATATAATCATTTTCTCAATAGAAGAGTTTATCAGCTTGAGGTACCCAGAGATGACAATGCTAATGAAGGGAGTCCAGAATATCAAAGTTATTGCAGCATTATCACAGTCATTATCAAAAGTAGTTTTAGAAATTTCCCCTTCCAACCAAGATTAGAGTAACTGGGATCAGATTTAGTCCCCACCCTGAAACAATGTGAAAAATATTAATACTGTTCATAAGACATTAAACATCAGACAAGAAGTGACAGCAAACTTTAAGAGAAGACAAACAAGTAAGGTGTGACCTGTGACTGCCCTGGCTGACTGCTTACAGCGTTCCCCGAGTAGGGAGCAAGCAGGGGACCCAGGAAGAACCTGGAGATCCCCCTGAGTTGAGGAAACAGCGGGATCTGGCAAACCCAAAGTGGCTACAGCTTGTAGGTCTGATTACCAGAGAGGAGAGAGCTGCGCTGAGAGAGAACCCAGAGACCTGTGACCTGGCGGGTTCCCCTGGAGTCTTCAGCTGAGTACTGGTCAGCACCCACGTGTGAGGAAACCACCTGAAAGCACTAGAGGGAACTATTTCTGGAGTTCACACAGGGCCCAAAATAGCTTCTGTTCTCACCAGAGTGGAGAACCTCATGGTTCACCAACACTGACCACAGCTCTTGGAAGAGTTTTACTCAGTAATGAAGAAAAATTAGCCCGGGTCTAAACTCCTCTTTTTCTGCCTCACATTTGAAAATAGGATCCAAAAGGCTTAAGCTGTCTCCAAATAACCAACTGCAAAAAGCAAAGCTCAAGAATAATATTTATAGGACGGGCTGGGATTGTGGCTCAGTGGCAGAACGCTTGCCTCACCCGTATGAGGCACTGGGTTCAATCCTCAGCACCATGTAAAAATAAATCAACCAAATAAAGGTATTGTGTCCATGTCTAACTAAAAAATATTTTTAAAAAAGAATATTCATAGGAACACAAAAATATCAGCACCCAAAAAGGTAAAATTCACAAAGAAGTACTACTAAAAATGTTAATTAATCTATAGGAACAGAAAACTGTTAAAACAGTAGCTGCTCAGAGATAGGGTTGGCTGGGAAGGACAGGAGGTAGCAATTAAAAAGGGACGCAAAGAAACTTGGTGGGGTGGATATGTTCATTATCTAGATTGTGGTGATGATATCAGGTATATACATACAATCAGAACCAAAAAAGTCTAATTTCACATAGTAGTCTATTGGAAACATGTTAATGGTTTTTGTTTGGGGGGATTGTTTTGTTTTTTATAATTGAATTGGGAATATTCTAAAAAATCTGGGTGAACAGTCCTCAGACCATCTTCAGTTTTGTTTCCTGTTTTGCCCACTTGGGGCCAAGGTGACCAGGATCACAAGACAAATAACCATCCATAGGAACCTGGGGGAGGGGCTTGCTGGCCTCAGGCCTAAGCACAGGACCTTTAGACAAGTGTCTGTTTTTAGTTTCCACTGAGTAGGTCAATCTACTAAATCCCAAGAAAAAGAAGTCTCATGAGAAAGCAAGAACTGCTGGTTCTTCAGAGACTGGTGAAAACCCACAAAGAACTCGCCACAACCTGAGCACAGTGAGGGTGGTCCACAGTGGTCCTCTACAGGACCCAGGACTTGTTCAGCCAACTCAGTCAACGTCCTTGACCATCTAACCAGAGCCAAGTCCTACCCTGGAATTCTTGCTTTTTCTCCAGGGATTGGGACAGATGCAAATCCCCAACCCTTCTATTCAGTTTTATGAATATTTGTAGGATACCTGTGTGCCAGGCCCTGCACTGAGCTCAAGGAACAGTGTAAACCAGGCAGATGTGATCCGTACCCTCATAGGACTCGTAGTTCATGGAAAAGATGGACACTGTACAAAGAACAAGGTTCCTGGAGTAGGGTAGGAGCTCAGATATCTATTGATAGAGTGAAGAGCACAGGCCATGATATCTATTTTCTTTCTCCCAGGGCCCAGGATAGGGCCTGACAGGCTTTGGCAAATGAATTTAACCCACTGGCGGCAACACTGTTTTCCACATGTAATTACCAAAATGGGGGTGTCTAGGACTGACTAGACAGGAAGGTTGCACTTCCAAATGGAAAAGTTTGCAGTGGTCCTTTCTGAAAGAAGGCTTCAAGGCTGGATAGAGTGAATGTGAGACTCACATGATCAATATAAGGTCTGTCATTTAAATGGAAGAGGAGAACAAGGAAAACAAGTATATGCCAGGGCCAAAACACTGATACTCCAGAAACCCATGTACACACTTCCTTAGAGAAGTATAGTCCAGGAGGACTAATTGTTTTTCTAATCAAAATTCACTAAGCTTTGGAAAGAAACTCCGCTGGGTTTGAATATCATCTGCCCTAATCTGCCAGACTTGTTCCCTGCCCACAGACGTCTTGCATTTTAAGATAGCAAAGAGAAACGCTGAAGTGAATGGCTGTGCCTTGAGGCAGGACTGTGCATACAGAAAAAAGTGACTTCTGGTGTCAGAGGTGGAGACCCAGGAACACTTGACAGAAAATGGTGTTGGAATTGGCCCTTTGAGCATAGAGAAGACTTGAATGTGCAAGGTGAGAGGAGACACATTTCATCAGGAAGATGGGTGTGGGCAGCAGCCAGGGCACGGGTAAGAGGACCTAGTCCAATTTGCCTTGACTGCAGGTCACAGGATAGTGGAGGGACACATGAATGACGTTGCTGTTGGCTCTGAGTCCTACAGGAAGAAATGTGGTTCTGATAGGTTAACTTCTGTTTCGTTTTCCTCCTCTATAAAATGAAAATAATCTCTAAAGTATCTCCTAGGAAATATGTATTAATGATAAACTTCTCACACAGTGATAGAAATGCTTCATTAAGAGCAACTGATCTGGTGGCAGTGGGGCACCATCAAAGAATTTGAGTAGGGAGATGAATGGCATGCTTGGAGATGGGTTTGAGATTAGCACAGTTCTGCACAATTTAGCACTTTTGTCCTGTTAGCACCCATAAATCACTTTTCTTTCCAAGGAATGACATGTCTTTTGCCTATCTTTGTATAGAGACATGGA